CACAATCAATCCATCGTCGCAACAGACGCACACACCAGCAACTCCACAACAAGCTCCATCGTCCGTGCAGTCGACAACGACCCAGGATAACGCTCCGGCGCCCGCTTCTTTACTGCCAGATCCTGTTGCGCTGGCCAAAAATCTACTGTTAAAGGACCTAAGACATTCGTTACAGGTAACATCCACATTATCCTGTGCAGTACTAACACAACAAGTATTGTCCCATTCTGTGCCTGTGAAAATGGATGCTTGACTCCACGAAGCAGTTCGCTTTGATGCATGGGATATTGACGAAGCAAGCTGCTTTTACTTTCCCCAACAGCCTTCGGAAAACGGCATTTCGCAGCTGTGATTACCGGCCGTAGCTGGGTCGCTTATCAGTGTCACTAGTTTGCTTAGAACTGAACTTTAAATCATTGGTCGTAATGGATAGTTTTTCAGTTACTTGTTGCTGGCTTTTAACTTTATGTCAATTTATTCAGGACTGGAGTATAACAGCTGCTGAGGTGATACGACCTTCGACTTTACGGCAACAGCAAGACACATCCTGTGCCACAACGCACAATCCAATGTCTGCTAATCCGCAGTCTGTCAATCCACAGTCAGTAAATCCTCTGTCGGCGAATCCGAGCTCGGTGAAATCTCTGGATGAACCAAAGTCTGTGGAGAATATGGAAAAGAAAATTTTAAGCCCAAATGAAGATTATATAAATTCGCTAGATAACTTCCTTGTAATCTGTGATCAAATTGAAACTGATCTGGTAAGTTCCATTCTTTACAGCCTTATTGTAGCTGTTAACACTTTTTGCCTTTACTTTCCTGTAGCCTGCGCATGAGAGCCCTAGTTCTTGGCTAGGAAATATCGGGGGAAGATACAGGATAATTTAAGTATTAAGTACAGCACAATATAAAGGTAGGAGTGGGAGTTATCAGTAGAGCTTTCTGTCCGCCACATTATAAGCATGTGCCCTCTCGTTGAAAACTAAAATAAAGAAAAAAAAGAGGAAAGACGCGAAAATAAAGAAGAGAAAGGACAGTTTATAGAAGTAAAAGGCTACTAAATAAGCAGAACATGTCCTGCGGTTCGGTTTGGGTATTTGGTCACATGGTGAGTTAGTAAAGGTGCTGAAGTGTTCCATTCAATGTAGTGCACTTATGCACAGCAGCTTGCGAATTGGTGGCCGTAAAGTAATAGCTTTTCCATTGCGACAATTACTTGAGCGCAGTAACTGCGAATATAAGTTTTAAAATATAAAAGTATGGGGTGCAGGGATCAGTTGCGCATTGCAGACTTGTTAGCTGCGACGATAAATCCATGTCCGTAAGGCGTTTGTGCAACTTAAGCACAGCATAAATGAAAGGAATAGAATCATCATTAGCTGAGATGCATAGCTTGAACTCTCTGATGTTTCTACTGTGCTTATCTGAGGAGCTGCGCGACGGACAGTGCCACCGAGATGTACATGCTACTGCCTAATATTTGACTGTTGGCAGTGGATCCGAGCTCATAGAATTTAGCGTAGGATTTAACGTAGCATAAAATTTTCAACAAATATAATGTAGTTGTTGACAGGCGTAATAACCTTGTTTCTGTGGAGCTCTTTTAAGGCTTGCCTTAGCAAACCTTGTATGAAGGAATACGGGCAATTAGCGCTTCGCCAACGAAACACAGTTGGTACCCTAAAGCATCAAACTAGTGCGCGGATTCACCTGTCTTATGCAGCACTAAAGTATCTCAGTTGTGGGCAATTTAAAGGTCATCTGCAACGATACGGCCAGTGGATTCGTTCTAGTTTCATCACTTCAGTCTCCGACGAGTGCATATGCTTTCAAAGCAGGGGAAATACGGATTGGTTCCTGCTGCAGAGTTGCAGT